ATACAAAAAAAAAAAAGAGATAGAGAGAGAGAGAGAGATAGAGAGAGAGAGAGAGAGAGAGAGAGAGAGAGGGGGGAAGATGAACAGGATGGAGAGAAAAAAAAAGGTGAAAAGAGGCGCGATTTGGGAGGAAAAAAAATGAAGCTGAACTAAGCGGATAAACGTAAAAGTATAGGATATTATGTAATATATCAAATAGAATGACTACGTCGTTGGTGGATATCGAAAGGATAGATATAGGAAATGGAAAGATTCACTAAACTTCCGAAAGTCAGTAATAGCATCATTTTGAAGATGATATTGCTTCTACGTTTTTGAGCGAATATATATCATTCTGCTCTTCAACTCAACAACCTAATCAAAAATATTTCCATAAAAAAATGAAATAAATTGAAAGAAGAAAAGGAAGAAGAAGTTAGAAAGAAGATGATGATGAGGACGACGACAAGGAAGAGGACAACCAAGAGCTAAAATGAAGAAAGAAATAAAGATGTTGGCCGTATAACATAAAAGTTCTTTTGCCAACTTCAAACTTTGTGGTGGTGCTGGTGGTTCTGGCTTAAATGCCCCAAAGAACTATCGACTTAATCTGTTTTTAAAGAAATGAAAAAAGGATAAAGATGAAGAAGCAAGAGGAAGACGAAGCAGGAACGCATTGTTAAAGGTCTAATGAAAGTTTATGAAGGAACAAGAACAGTCAGTGACTAACGTTATATGTGTGGATGGATAATGAACATTATAATGAACACTTAGCTATGATCAGTTCGAGTTAATGGGATTGAATGAGAAAATAAAAGGTTTCAGTCTGAAAGCCTTAAAGAAAAATCCCATTAAATTAGTTGAAAATCTTATTTCATTTCTTTGTTAGCTAAATACAACAACGACGACTTCGATGAGTGAATGAATAGAGAGAAGAATACAGAAGAGTAAATGATAGATAAAGAGAGAGAGAATGGATAGATAGATAGAGAGAGAGAGTTAAAAAAAACAATATTTTAAGACACAATTTTTGTATTCATTTGAGCAAGTCGGCCAAAGTAGGTGATAAGAGCTGATGAACTGTTTTTTATGCTTCCCACGCATGAGAAAGATAAGCCGTTTGAATGATTGAAGCTGATTGCTTTTTGAGACAATACGCTTTTCCAAATGTCAATTCACATAGCTTTTTTCAGTATAAAAGGTAAAATATATAATAAAAAAAATATTATTTTTTCAAAAATTTCGAAAGGTGTGAATACTTAGGATATATGCAAACATTGGGAATAGTCTATCTCTTTCTATCTATCTCTCTCTCTCTCTCTCTCTGTCTTTCTTTCTCTTTCTCTATCTCTCTCTTCATATTCTATCATTTTTCATTTAATGAATTTATAAGAAGAGAATGGCTGTGCATATTCCCAAAAGTAGGTATTAATCTCGAAACAAATGGCACACAGAGAAGAAAGAAAGAAAAAAAAAGAAAAGAAAGATCTTTTTCATTTGTATACGAGCATTGTTAATGCTAGTCTGTACATCGTTTAGACTAAAAAAAGGAAATGGGCTATGGATGAGAATGAAGACAAAAAAACGAAAAAAACGAGGAAAAAAAGAAAAAAAAACTTAAAACAATTGAAAGAAAAGATCGGGCAGCTTAGATTAAGACTGATTTAGAAAAGGCATTTATAGATGAAAGAATGAATATGAAGCTATATGATGATGATGAGGATGATGATGATGATGTAGATGGTTATGAATGTGAAGATGCAGATGATGAGACGAGGAAGAGTTAAAATACGAATGAAATACGAATTGTAATTGTCATATGTTTGTATTCATCATAATTATATTACAATATGTCTTGAGAAAAAGAAATTATTTCTTTTTTTTTTTTCAAAAGGCAAATTGTCTTGTCTCACCAAAATCAGATTAGGGTAAGGATGGTAGTAGAAAGAATGGGTAAGATGATGGTGAGGTTGAGAGGGGTGAAGAAAGAAAAGAACGAGGTGGTGGGATGATGATGGCGATGGTGGTTGTGGTGGTGGTGGTGGTTGGTTTTGGACGGAAAGGGTAAAGAGAGAATGAGAAAGAATGGTTTTGTAAGAGAAAAAGTTATGACATTAATTAAAACCGTGGGAAAAGAAAATGTCGACTTACCATGTCCTTCTAATATCCTTGTATGGAATATTCAAATCAACTTTGTAATATGGAATGACGAGTACTTGTGCTTGAAATTGTTGAACAGCAGTTTATTATGATGATTAGAGGATGATGTTATATACCACAACAGCTAGCTATATAGCTTCTTCTTCAAACAATTTCTGAAAATATTGAATATCTTATACGTTTTATACAATAAATAGGATTTTTGAAGCCAAAAGTGAAAAGCAGTACAAGCAGGATAAACAAACTGTTAAAAGACTTCTAATGAAAAGAACACTTGCTTTTCAAGAAGCAGAAGACGACCAAGAAGACGACCAAGAAGCAAAAAAAGCCAAAAACAAAATTGAAAAACGTAATCGTGACATTGCAGTTTAATTAAAGACATCTTCAAAAGCTTAGAATATATAGTGCGAGAGAAACAGCTTAAGCATACTCGCTTCCTATTTCCTATGGGATTGTAAGTCTCTTTTTCTTCTTTTTTTTTTGCTTTTTTTTTCATCTCATAAAACCTGAGACTTTGACTCTTCAAAACGACTATATATCTTTCTCTTTGCTTATCGCGTTGAGACCAATAAAACGCCCCGAAGATAGAAGACGCAAAACAAATATGTGAAAGCCAGCACCAGATGAAGAAGAAGTTGAAGATGAAGAAGACGATGAAGACACAAGAAAAAATGAAAAAACGAATAGTAATTCATATAAGCATTGACAATATTTTTGTTCACCAATTTGTGTGCCGTAAAGTATGAAGAGGAGTAGTCTTTGCTGTAATAGTAAATCATTTAATACATTATGTATATCTTTTCTTCAACAGAATCGTTGAACTATTGTTCGATGTGTAAATTATTGATTGAGAGAGTATGTGTGTGCCTCTGTGTGTCTTGTGTTTAGTGGAAGACGGGTGGAACAGAAGGGTCCTGGTAGTAAAGGCTGTGCGGGGGAGGGGTGTTGAGGACATATGCTATACAATTGACCAGCGTTTTGAAAGATGGAAACAGCGCAATGGGTGTATGTGTGTAATGACAAAACGCTTCAGAAAAGGAGAGAAGAAAATAAAAAAAAAATCAGACACACACAAGGAAAAAAATTTTTTTTTTCATATCTCCTTCTCCTCCCTTTTTCCCTTTTTCTCTCTGTATGTGACTCTGTTTTTCTTTTTCTCTCTCTCTCTCTATCTCTCTTCTTCTCTCACTGTCATCCAAGCAGTTTGTGGATTTGAATGGAAAAATAAAAGAAGAAAAAATTGGCTAAACTTGTCGCTCACTAATATTACTTTTCCGGTCAACAACTGTCGCAAAGGACAAATAAACGAATAAATATTAATTTAATATGAGCATATCTGAACAACATCCAAAGCACCAAAACTAAGATTTTCTTTCTCATTTTTATATATTATTACGATTAGTCCACACTTACACACATACTCACAGACACACACACATACATACTCACACATCTATATGAGTCTGTAGATAGAATATGGAATAGAGTACTCTTTACAAACTATATATCTATCTATATCTATATAGTTTGAATAGGAAATATAGCCATCAGTTGAAATAATTTCATATTTAAACAGCTGAACATGAAAAATCATCATCTTCATCTACATATTTCTCATATCCAATATTATATGATATAGTTAAAGATACATATGAATATACTATATCATATCAATTGAAATATAAAATATATATATATATATATCATTCTAACAATAGACAATTGATTCGTTAAGTTAACACATACTCTTCATTCTTCCCCAATCCCTTTCCCTCCTTGCCTCCTTTACATCTCCATATAGACTATGTAACATGTATAGTCTCATTCACATACATACACACATGAAGAGAGAAATTGAGATACACATATTCTATATATCAATACACAACATATACAATTATTAATATACAATCTATATATATATATATATATATATCTATACTATATGATATAGTATAGATATACATATAAATTCTTTTTTTTTTCTGACTTGAGAATCAATCTATTCATCAGTCAAAAATTCTATCATTCTTTGAAAAAAGACATAAAATAAGGACGCTTATCTAAGCAATACTAGTTAACCATATGATCAATATAGTGAAAGATTATTATTTTTCTTTTTATCTCTAAATACTCTCTTAATAATACATTATCTATAATATATATGTATGTGTTTATGTGTTGTTTATGATAAAGTTCAAAATACAAATACTAACTATATGTATAGATTGATATAATAACAAATCAAACTATAATTAATATAAGAATAATATATTCATACTTGTTGTATACAGATATCGAGAGTAAAACATAGAGTGAGTAAGAGGAGGAGAGAGAGAGAGATCATACAGCTGATAGTAAGTGAAGTATAGTCATTCATACTACTCACTCATACTTATTCTCTCTCTCTCTCTATTATACTCTTACTCTCTATATGTCTCTATTTCATATTTCATTTGTACAGAGAAACATATTATTATTTGCATTTGTAGAACAAAATGAAAATTCTTCTCATTTTATTGTGAATGTTGCCGTTATTATTTGCGCAAAAAATTATATTTATCTAGCCGCAACAGCTGTTACAGTTAAAACAAATATTATGCATACGCTGAACATTACAAGCTGCTATCATCAATATATATATATATATATATATAGTAAAGAGAGAAAGAGAGAGAGAGAGTCAGAGAAAGAGAGATACAATATAAAACAATCAAATTAATAAAGAACAAAGAGAGAGCGAAAGAAGAGAAAAGCAGATGATTCCTTTCACTCAATCCTCTGATGGGATCCAGTATAGCTTATGCACCGGTTCAATAGATCAAAGGTTAAATTCAAAGAGCATTCATGACAATATTGAATAGACAAAGCATATCAGTTCTTTGAAGAAGAAAACCTTTTCGTTTGAAAATATTTTTTTTTAAATCTTTTTTTTTTGTTTTAAAGAATATATATATTCTCTTCTTATTATTATTATTATTCTTTCTATATTATTAATGAAGAATATATATGAAGCGAGATGATCAAATTATGGAAGATGATGAAGAAGAATAAGAAGATGAAGAAGACATGATGATGATCATACGAGCTCTATAGAAGCAGTCAAAAATGAAATGTCATGCATTCATTCATTGAAATATAGTGCAAAGCAGTACAGACTTATTTGTAGTTTCATGCATTTCAAATATATTCTGCTATGTCAGACTAAACGGATTTGTCGACAGATGAAGGCTCAACGGGAGGTTCGGCCTCCGAATTAGCCGATGTAGCTACACCAGATTGTAATTGAACTTGTTCTCCCATTTGAGTTACAGTAATAAGCTGGTTAAAAACAAGAGCCAATGGAGTTTGAATGCCAGATTTGAGTTTAGGCTCGCTTTGGCATGTTAGTATTTGTTTGAAGGCTTTTCGGAAATCGCGTGAAAAGCGGCTGTAGATTAATGGATTCAGCATCGAATTCAAATGACCAGCCCATGTGAAAATTGTAAACCAATATTCTTGGTTTCGGGCACACTAAAAGGTAATAACATTAATGATACTATTTGAATTTGATAAAAGAACGAACAGCTTCACAGAATGATGTAAGAGGGTTAAAGATGAAGAATGGCGTCCAACATAGAATGAATGCTCCGACAACAATGGATAATGTGCGAGCGGCACGCTTCTCATACATGTACTTCATCATTATTCTTGATTTTGATTGAAGATGTAGACGTCTCAAGATAGTATGACGGAAAGCAGAAACAGTCTCTCCTCTTCCAGCACGTGATGGCTTAACAAATCACATTCAAGTTAGTTAGTCAAGTTTCAAATTAACAATATTGATGCTCAGTATTCAATCATTTGTCTTTCCTAGCCATTATACCCGGCATAGCTAAGTAATGTATCACAAGGGAAGTAGAATGATTCAAAATGTTTATCTTTCATCCAACTCTATACTATACTTCCGATTTTTGGTTTTTTTTTCCTCTTCTCAACCGCTCAATCATATATTACAAAAGAATGGAAATGTTTCCTTCAACTTTTTGGAATTCTTTTCGAGTTTTTTGAATTCATGACTCAACTGTTTCTCATATAGGGTCATTCTCTTGCTTACCTTGAACATTGTCAATTCCATTTCTTCACGTCTTGGCTCATTTTTGGATACGTTAGCCATAGCAGTGTTTCGACCATTTCCTACATGTATACGTAATGTGACCTCTTCACCATTGGATTCACTTTTTTCGTTATTTCCTTTTTTATTAATCTAAAATGTAGCGTTGAAACAAAGTGTTCTTTTGCATTTTCAAGAGAAACTACCGTTTTCATGCCAGACTTCATGCTCCTAGAATGACGGCTAGCGATTATAAAAACACGGCCATACGCAAAAAGAATTAAGATAAGCGGAACATAGAAGGTAACTATGGATGAGAATCCAATATACAATTGACTGTCAGTGAAGAAGCATTTGCTCTATAAGTTAATCATCATCATTATCATTATCATTCCATATTGAGATTACTTCAAGCAAATATCTCATTTATATCTTTCAAGCATGTAATCGGATACATTGCTCCTCTCTCTCTCTTGTTTTTCATATTTTACTCTTTCTCTCTGCATCTCTCTCTCTCTCTTTCTCTCTCTCTTTCAAAAACTTACTTCATCCGTATACAAATGTGGAGAATAAGTTCTCCAAAAGTATATTGCGGGAAATGATAGAAAAGCGGATACAAGCCATATAGCAAAGATTGCTCCGCAGATGCGTCCTTTCGTTACGATTTCACGATATCCAATTGGTTTAACACCAGCAATATAACTACAAATGTATATTATCTATGCATATGTTGAATGAATGAATAGAACTGACCGATCCAAGCTAATAATGCATAAGTTCCAAATAGAGCTTGTTGAAGCAAGTATATCAAGTGCATGAAATAGATCACACATAGGCAAACCTTTAATATTATTTTTTTTATTATTTAATTGATTATTTGATAATTGATTATCATGCCCATACCTAATATCCAAACATGATTTGTCATTTCAAATAACGAATTCATTGGCATAACCACCAATCCAACTATCACATCAGCAAATGCTAATGACACAATCAAATATCTGAATTTATTATTATATTAGATAGATTTATATGTAATTTGATTCTTCTTATTTACCCTTTTGGATTGCGGAGATATCGCTTCGTAAACACAGCAACGATAACAAGTATGTTTCCAGATATTGTTATCAAACATACACATATCAATAATATGGCCAAAAATGGACTTCTCCAAACTATTTTTTGAGCTTCAAACATCATATTATTAGATTTTGATAGATTATATAGATATAGTATAGATATAGAAACATATATATATATATATATATATTTCTATCTTTATATTATAATAACAAAACAACTCACTTTCCATTTCCGTCTCCTTTTCCCAAGATGTGTCATGATCAGATGTGAACAGAAACTGTGAAGCCAGCTTGCTCTTAAATTGAAATTTTTGAATAAAATGAGAAAAAAAAAGCTCCAAAAAGGAAAGATGTAGTAGAAGATGAAGAAATGTGTCAGACGATTACAAATTAATATGAATGTGTGTGTGTCTGTGAGTGTGTGTGTGTGTAGATGCGTGTCGGAACAAATATTATTTTGAAAAAAAAAGAAAATAAAATATAAAAAAATATTAGAAAAAGAGGAAATGATGTAATGAACATGCGACAGAAATATTGTTTTATATTAAATGAGAGAAATTGATATTACGACATTCTCATTATATCTTTTGTTGAGATCATAAAGTATGAAAGCGAGCGAATGAAGGATTGTTCAAAGAGCATCCTTCATCCATTTTTTTTTTTGCTCTCTTCTTCTTCTTCTTCTTCTTTTTTTTTTGATATTTTTTCATTCGTCTTCCTCCTTTCTCATCGTAGTTCACAGAGAGATAGAGAGAAGAGGAATGTATGTGAGGGTCACATCGCTCGAACTCGAAAAGGGAAAAGACTTTCATATTAGAGACATCAACATGTTCTCCAATCTCGATGTTATGCATTACTTTCTCTTCTTTCAGCTCGAAGGTTGCGAATATTGATAATCTGGAAACAAGTCTATAAGCTAAAGAGAGAGATGCATGTGTAAGACCAAAGACGAGAAAACAAGAGAAGTGAGATAAAGAATGAGTGTGATTGAAATGAGCAACAAGAATATGAAGAGTGTGAGAGAGAAAAAAGAAAAAAAGGAGGGAATAAGGGGGGGGGTATGAATGGTTGCTCGTTTGGCATAGGATATGAGAAAGGCGAGATGTACTGAAAAAGTATCTCATATATTTATGAACACTTCTTGCTAATTGGATGATTATCTCAAAGTAGTATACTTTGAATACTCATAATTGCTTTTTCTTCATCAAGCCTTAGATGGAGATATGAAATAAGTAATGTGATGATGGCTATTCACGCGTTTTTCTATAAGTAATGATATCTATTAAAGTAATGAGCTATGGATGGCTTAATTCTGTTCTTTAAAAATCTGCGGATGAATGGAGGAAGGAAAAACTTTAACAACACAAATCTGGCTGTGAGACATGAGAAGGGTTGGGGGGTAGAGAGAGTAGTATAGGGGGGGGGTGAGAAGGGATTAGAATGTTTTTTAGGCTCCATTTTCATAAAGAATATTCATGAGATTGTATGAATAGAAGATATAGCTGAGTGAGATGTAGGTTTGTTTAAAGCTGAACGTTGTTCAAACCTTTTCGGTGGCTGGGAGAGTTTAAGAACTCTATTGAGAGTCTCAAATAAAATTCTCTTTTACTTAGTGGAGGAACGTCACCATATTCGATTCACTTACTTTCTTCCAATTTTTCTTTCTCATCTCCCCCCCCCCCTTTCATTCTCCATTTTATCTTCTCAGAGGCCTCTAGTCCACTCTTAAATCTCTCTCTCTATTACTCTTGCATACTATTTTATTTTTAAATTATTTCTGTCTGTTTCGCATTCTTAACCTATCTATTCTTATTCACTCTCTTATGAAGATTCAGATGAAGTTTTTTTTTCTGTTTCTGGCTATCCACGAAAACGTTTCTCTCATCTAATTTCATTTATTCTCTCGTGCATAGAAAAGTAGATGAAATTTTACAAATGTTGTTATGGGTTCAAAATAAATTGTTAGGCTTTAGTGATCAAAAAAAAAAAAAAAAGCTATCAGACTCAATGACCTTGATGAAAGGAAATTAGATTTGGTCAAGTTTCAGTAGGAGGTTCTGTAGAACAAATCACAATTGAGTTAGTGCTCTGCGGTAAGTCGCTAAAAATGATCGTAGCAAGAAAATGAATAAAGTGGTCTAAAAGAATCGGGTGGGGGAGGGAAGGAATAGAGAGAAAAGCTAGTTAACACATTAACAAAAGGGCATATTAAGCACAAAATGTATATATGTGGTGAGTAGGCTCTTAGACGACGTGGACATTAGTATGCATAATGAAGTGAGACAAGCACTTTGCGCGGAAATGAAATAATATGAACTTATGCATTTAACTTTATTCATCAAATGAATTCAAGAAAAAATGTCTCTCAATTCATCTCTCTGATTTTCGACAGAGTGTACTTGGCTTGAATGAACGGAAGGCTGATGAAGTTGGAAGTATTTACATACATTAGTAGAATGAAAAATTTTTATGAAATGGGACTAAGCTCTTCAATATTCCTTAGGAGTACATAAATCTTTTTTGAATTCGACTGCCCATGTGCTTAATAGAAAGATTTAAAGTAAGAATGAATTGAGTAGTCCATCTCAATTGTAATGAATGGAACAAATTTCATTTTTTAATCATTAAGAGAAGTATGCGGAAACTTATGGGCATGGGAAAATAGAGTTTGGAAGAGTTTCTCATTACCATCTATCTTCCTTCCAAGAACTTTGAAAACGATAGAAAAGATCCATGAAAAAAGTAAATTGAAAAGTAAAACTAATTTTGAGAGAAAAAAAAAAGCGGAAGAGAAAAAAAAGGTTTTTTATTCTCATTGTGAGAATGTGAGAATGTGAGAATATTGATATGTAATGAGAAAGTTTGATGGAAGATTGTAAAGATTACGAGAATAGAGGGGGCAGTAGCCGGAACGAATATCAAAAATATATATCGGTGAGAATCAAAGCAAAAAAAAAAAGAAAAAGAAGAAGATGATGAATGAAAAAGAAATTGAACGCTTCCGGTTGTGAATTTGAGATATAGATGTATGGGTGTTAGTGTGTGGTATGGTAGAGATCTGGGTTATAAGGGTTAGAAGGGTTGGTTATAAGCAGAATGGGTGGTATCGAAAAAGAGGGAATGGATTGTTGATAGATAATAAAGAAAGAGAGAAAGAGAGAGATAGAGAGAGATATGAAGATTGAAAAATGAATGAAAACTGAAAGTTTGGATGGTCGTCTAAAATATATATTTTTACGAGTACAGAACTGCAATTGAGTGAAAATAAATTGTAACATCAGATATAAAACAATGGAGTAGATGAGTGCTTATCCAGTCTAAACAATGGTACAGAAAATAAGAAACCGGAAACGACATTAATGTCAAAATGACAATTTTTTGTAAAGATTTATTCAAGCTTAATGTCTATAAAATATTGGAGCGTTGAAGCGAAATGAGAGCAGCAATAACGAAGGAAGAGAAGAAGAAGGGGGGGGGAGGATGAGGAGAGGGGGTGGCTGGGGGCATTCCGTGCATTTCATTCTATTCCACCAAGAAAATGCCATTTCTTTCTCTATCTGTTCTTGTTTTTAAAATAAAAATATGTTACCAGGAGAATGGTTGGGTAACTAGCTGACTAATTATGTTTGATGCACATCAAAAAATTACATTTGAAGCCTATTTAGGCAATTTGATGATGAAACACAGGCAAAGCAAAAATAAAAAAGCTGAAAAATGGAAAAGAAAAATGCTATTAAAATGATTTTTTTGGTTGAGAAGCACAAATAGAGGGATGGATAGAGAGAGAGAGAGAGAAAGATTGAGTAGAATAGAGTATATGGGCACTGCTTTTTCGCAGACAACATGTGGTTGCCAAGACACATCATTAAGAAACATAAATATTCATAATTGGATTGTTTTTACTGACTACAAAGTTATATGCAACTTTCGTGTCGTTAAACAAACAAACGCATCTTGAAGAGAAGAAGACTAAGCTCATTTCATTCAAAGTTTTTTACTACAACAAGATGAAGACGAAATAGGAAATATCTTTATTTGCAAGACATAAAGCAGTATTATACAGCAACTAGTTATAAGCTTTTACTTACAATACCATTAAGAGGCTGCAGTAAACAGACAAATCTGCTGCGGAGAGCAAGAACGTCGAAAAACAAAAAGCAACATAATGAATAGGAAAGTTCACACACTGACGCAGACAGAAAGCAAAGCGTTTAACTGTTAACACCTTCTCGTTTATAAAATTGTTTTTAGGACGCTTTATTCCTTTTTTTTTTTGCTTTTTCTTTTTTTTTTTTTAAATCTCACAGATTGTCCCATTCGTCGTAGGGAGAAGTATTTTCGTATACTTCATCATGGGTTGCCTTTGTTTTCAAGGCAATTTGATTCTTCAACATGTTATCTTAAACCGAATACAATTTACAGATGGCTTACCTGCTCACGTTCAAACTGGAAACTTTCATAGTCGCGCAATGTTACTTGTACATATGAAGTAACGAAATGCTGCTCTTCAGTTCGCTGATACTTTTGAATCAGTTCCAATGCCAACTCTTTCAATTCCACAAGATTAAGAGCTTCGCATTCTCCAACCAATCTTAAATCGGGAAAGTCCATTTGAGAAAATTGCTTTTACATACTTAGCCAAATCGTCTGGCTTACTTGGTAAGGCTAAAGACGGAACAAACTTTTCCTTTTTAAGACGAAGATAAAATAGGATGTGCCGAAAAGTCTTTGGATCACGATCCAAAAAATAATTTCCTCCCTGAAGGGTAAAGCATTGTTTGAATGAAGACAAATAAATAATATAAAGAATATAATAAAAAAAATACTTTGTCAGTAGCAATTGGCTTGATAGTACCAGGCTTGAACCATTCAGCCAGCTTTGATCTTGGATCAGCCAACATATCAGTTCGACGAACCTACATTATTGAAAATACAAATAATATATTCAAATTATAAAGGTTACTGTATATTTTTTCCCGCCAACATTGATATTCAAAATATCATCAGACAGACGATGACGCGACATGTTTGGTTGATAATTGCGTACTAATGCTCAAAAATCACCTAAAGCAATGGCTTGAGACGTTAAAACAAAAATTTCTATTTTCTTAAAATGTTATTGCAGTGTGAGAAGTTCTTAGTGAGAAGTTGAAGCAGAAAAATGGAAGAAAAAAAAAAAGTTCAATGTGAGTTGAGGTTGATGTTTAGAATGAGTGAGGTGAGGTGGCTACAAGAGAGAAGTAGGCAACACCTTCAATTGGTAATAGCCGCATGAAGAGTAAAGCCTAAGGTAAAAGGATCTGAGAGGAAAGGGGGGAGGGAGCGAGAGAAGAGGTTTAGTAAATCACCGGAAGCAATATGTATATACATTTTGAGTTATTATTTGTTATTATAAAGAAATAATGTGTCATGTGTATTTGAAGTAACCACTTAATTCATAGTACTCAAGCATAGTTGCCATGAGATAATTGCTAGCTAAATGGCCATTTTTCTTATTCTACTTTACATCTCAAACGTTTATTATATATATTTGAAGGAGAAAATAAAATAAGATTTCAATATAATTCATTGAACAAAGGTTATAATTCGAAGGATCTTTTCTATTTCTCTAATCGTTTTACTTTCAGAATATGGATGTGTGACTATGAATGTCTATGTGTGTATGATGTGTGGTAACTAAGTGTTCATGAAAATGGAAAGGAGGAAAGAAATTGTCAAAGAAAAGAAAAGAAAAGTTTTTTATTTAAAATATATGAATAGAAGCACATAATTACATGGTTTATATAGGGTTTGAATGGTTTTTATACATTGACAGGGCAGATGAGGTTTATACAATGAATCATATACTATCCTTAGTCCATATGGATGGATGAAAGAAGAGTATGAAAAGGGTATATGCTCATTCATATGAGAAGATGACTTGTACTTATGAAGATGCTGAAGATGATTGGAAGGACAAGGAATGAATATCCTGATGTATTACAGTAATCTCTGTCATTGCAAAAGCAATATGACCATCTGGAAATAAGTTAGTTATAACTATATATTATTCTCTCTCTATCTCTAATTATATGTAATAGTTAATAACCTTTTAACTGGTGCTGATCCATCTTGAAATGGATAACATGCTTTTCCTTGTACAAATGATAGATTAGATGGATTAACTTGTAATTGTGTTTGATAGAAGCAATCACTCTTATATGTAACATATTCTGTTCCTGGTGTCATTGAATCTATTATTTTAACGCAATACTTAAATATATAATTAATTATATTATATAATATATATTAAATAGATTACTTGAGGCGTTTCACATTGGTTATTTCTATTGTCACAAGTACTTACTTGAGAATATCTAAGATGGTTCAACATGTTATAGACAATTGAATATTTTAACTATTAATATTACCTAACAGAATATGAACCATGCCATCCATTACATTGATGACATTTGATCGCCAACGCTTCTAACAAAATGAAAGAATGGATGAGAATATGTATAAGGAGAAATGGGATAAACCTGCTATGCAGAGAAGTAGAATTGTATTTTGAATTAATGAAGAAGCTTTAGACATCTTCTAATGAATTGACTGAAAGCTGTTCAAAGAGCACAAGTGAAGATGATTATAACACCTGAAAGAAGTAGGATAGATGATTGAATTCAGCTTCACAATTCAGCTAGCTGTCATGATATTGATGTCAGACACTGTTTTTGTGAATGAAAATGAACTTCAAATCAAAAACTGAAGAGAATACGGATTATGGTGGTGAACTTGTTGAATGTTTCGTTCTAGACTAATCCGCATAATGTACGATTTCTCATCTTCTCAGTCTTTGGTGCATTCGGTTGCTTAGTGATGTGCCCAGTAACAATATGAATGATGCAGTATCCTTTTGTAATATGCCTTTAGTATTTCTATTCAAAGTTCTCCAGTTCATTCCATAAATAATCGTCTTCAGACATCATGACCATGTCAGATGACAAACGATGCCTAGAAAATGAAAAAAAAAGGAAAAAAAAAGAGAAAAAGTAGAAAATTGAATTTAACATATTGTGTTTCTTAAGATATAAATTGAAATAATGATATTACGGAATAGCTCATTTAAAACTATCAAATAGGGTTATCCAGCTTCTTCTTCTTCATATATACTATTGACACAACAGTATAAATGAAACTGCTATTCTTTTAATTCAATTTAAAGAGAGAGAGAGACAGATAGAGAGAGAGGGAGACATAGAGAGAGAGAGAGAAAGACAGACAGAGTGATTCAAATTTAATTTGAATTAATTAAACCTGATTCATTGCATTTCACAAAAAAATCTTCATTTTTCTTCTTCCTTAGCTTCCTTCATTCTATGAATTGAAATGAAATGGAATGTTCGCCATTTGACCGTTGTATTTACTTTTGTATTAAGTGCAGAGCAATCTTTCATTTTCAGTGTCATTAATCTGCCTTCCTTTTTCAGATATATAGATATCTAAGTTTGTTTGAAAAAGGAAAATACTTGAAGGAGAAACACAAGATGGCACATAGGACATCTATGAACACACACACACACACACACGCACACAGATGACACAATAGATCATTGACAATACAATGAATTACCATAGATGGCATCATCATCATCATCATCATCATCATCATCAGAAGTTATATGTATATATATATATATTCTATTCAATAACCATAATTGTTAAGATAGAAACATTTAATATTCCATAGAGGAAATGTAACATCGTCTTCGTCTTCTCTTTTTTCATTTCTCATACTTCAATCTATCCATATAACTGTAGAACTAACAATAGAATATCTTTGAATAAATAAATTCTTTCAATTAGTTTGATGACTTTCATGTTTCATTTTACTCTTCTATCCTTCTCTTATGCAATACGATTCGAATGTCTTCTTACATATCCATGTCTCATTCAGTCAACCAGAAGAAAAAAACCTTTTTTACTTAAAGTTTTCGTCCACATATATTAAAAAATTTTTTTTTTCTACGAATCCACTAGATCGTAGATCCAACCGATTCTTCAACTTCGCACTCTTCTCTCTCACCCTCTCTCCTCTCTCTCTTTCTAAAACAGAATTATTGTATTGTTGAGTAGCTTCTTCTGACTGAAATGAAAGGTACATTGTGAGAAGCAAAAAGAAAACTTTTTTTTTGTCTTAGTTCTTAATTGAAAGCGTAGCAAGAAGCTTTAATGAATAAATAGAAGAATGGCTAGATGAGACCAAATAAAGTGCTTGACAGTGATATAATTAACGATACGCATAGTATATATGTAACACTAATGAATTTTGGGTTAATCATGTTTTACTCAAACACTTCCAAATGAGGTAGTCGCTGTTTCCATTTCCGTTTTTTACTTGTTTTTTTTCTTTTTGTATGTTACATTGTATCTTCATCTCCTCCTTCACCACTATCATCTTACTCACATTTTCAATTCTCTATTCTTCTCTATCATCTATATAAACTGATTTCTTGTATTAACCCTAATTCAGATATCATCCTTTCAACCATCCCTCATCCTTTACATACATATCCACCTCCATCCCCATCATCTCTTATCCCCCCCCCCTCTCTTTCCTCTCTAATTACAACTTCTTAATTTAAATTTTTGAAACTTTTTATTTTCAATTAGTTTTAAGAAAAAAGACGATAAACATTTTATTATTTTCCATTTAACGTAATTGGTTCCTGATACGGTTTGTTTGCTCATTCAAAGGCCACAAAATGCCGTTTATTTCATTCTCAATCTTCACTTTGGAGTGAACGGCTTTCTTTTTTTCTTTCACACTTCCCACCCTCCTTAGCCATGATCCGATTTTATATTTTTCATTACTTTTTCTTTTATTTCTGGTATAATAGTAAACGAGAAAAACCGTTTATCATAACCCTCTTCTCTCTCTCTCTATTTCTCTGTATCCTCTCCTTCCCTCTCTCTCTCTCCCTCTCTCTATCCACTTGACACGTATTCAGCATAAACACAAATGATATTGAACAAGTTTAAGGGGAAGTCTTTGCTATATCCAAATCAGCGACTTTGAAATACATTCGACTGTTATTTTGCATTTGTGCCCTGAGCAGTCGCTGAGCTCTATTTTATTTTTTATTTCATTTCAAAAGCATAAGACATTTAAGTGGATCATATCATCTCTCTTAACAACACTGTCTGATTGCATTCACAAACTGTTTCATAATCTATATTAATACAAATTTTATTTCATACTATTGTATATAGCTGTCTGGCTATAAGGCTTAACCTCTTCAATGCTCCTTCTCTCCCCTCTCATTTCTGTAATAAGTCATCTCTACAGACGTATTCCCTCTTTGTTGGCCAACCCTTCAACCCTCTCTTCTCTCTCCTTTCCTCTTTTATTTCAAATATTTTCTTTCAAAAAGTTTGAACAAAAAACAGCTAGATCCAGACGAGTTTTAATTCTTTTGCCTCTCTCTCTCTTATTCTCCTTCTCTCTCTCTATGTCTCTCCAACTTTTAAGACACAACAAAAAAAAAGTTGTTGTTTTTTTGTGAATTTCGGTCTCTGCTCCTACGATTTCTCATTGCTCTCATCATACAACGAAATGATTTTATTTGAAAACTGCATTGTGATGGTTGTTGATGTTGAAATGATGATGATCATTCGTAATTAATTTCAGGGGGGGGGTTTGGGGGGGGGGGGGTGTGAGTGAGAGAGAATGTATTATCTATTCTTATATCAAAGTTCTTGTTAGGCACACTGTGAACTTATAATATCTCAGAAATCGTGTTGACATCATCACAACATCATATTCAAAACTCAATATATCCTTCCGCTTTTTATAGCAGACAAATTTTTTTTTATTCCGCAGAAGAAAATAATCATCTTGAAGAGAGTTGTTGATATGATTATCTTATGAATGAAAGACATTCATAGATTGTTTCAAAACTCTTTCTCTCTCTCTCGTACTCTCTTATCTTACTATTCTCTCTCTATCTCTTCTTACAAGAACATCATTACCATATTCTCATGTGAACATTATGTCAATTATAGATAATAAGCTTATAAGTGATGTTCGTTGGGAAAACGATTATGTAATAGAAAAATTGAAACATTACGAGAAAAATGACTGTGGCAGCATTCATTTAGAACATCATCCAGTTACCCTTTGCTCCCTCCCTCCCTCCCCCCACCAAATGTACTATTGATAGATGAAGCTATTCAGAGTATATGTATCAATAGAGCAATATGATTTAATATATAAAATGAATCATCTCTTTAGTAAACTTCATCCGTTCTCAAGTTGTACATATTATTAAGGCCCAAAACATAGCATCAGTACCCGCAAAATTTAGTTCCACTTGCCAATATATTCAATTTACTATATATTTCTCATTCATATCTTCGTCTTCAAAATAAACCTCATTCAAATTTCTTTTTTTCTTCTTCTTCTTTTTCATTCAACGTCTTCTTCCATTTCGCCATGCTCATGAAGATGATGAAGACGAAGAAGAAAAAAGAAAAAAAAAAGAAAAACTATTCTACTTTTCGTGTGTTGAAGAGTAATTGAAACTACAAAGCAATTCCATGTGATGACATCTCATATTACGTAATTCTGTGACTTTACAAACAAATCAATTCGTCTTCTTGTCTCTAACATCCATCCCACCACCCCCGTTCCAACACCAAAAACGCTTACATCTTCAATTCCACTCGTCTTCCCATAAAATTTAAATTAAATTAAAATCAACTTACATTTCATTTCAGAAATCATTATTATAGAAGTTAATCATGAATGATACTATGTCTCATCTTGGAAATGAAAGTTGCCAAAACTATCATAAGCTGTTTGGTGCTATCAACCATTTCTTTCGATCTGAAGCAATCATTGGTGATTCGGATTATTCATCAAATACAGTTAATAATAACATATAGTTAAATATATATAGAAATCATATACATACAGATTGGTCATATCATAACCGTAGCATATGCTACTGTTATCATATTTGGAGGTTTTGGTAATGCGCTAACCATCTTCGTTGTATTACAAAACGTTAATATGCGAACGACGCGAAATTTTTTTATTCTAAATCTCGCTTTATCAGATCTGTTTGTGAGTTGAATTTTCAAAAAAAAAAGTAATCAATAAGACGCTTATTATAGGTTTGTTTAATAACTGCTCCATTGACACTTTATACAATACGGTATATGTTTTGGCCGTTTGGAACTCCGATGTGCAAAGTTGTAGGCTCTTTACAAGCTTTTAGCGTTTTCTTATCAACATTTTCAATAACAGCCATAGCGTTAGACAGGTACATCATTTACACTTTGATTGTGTAGTTTAAAGCTTCGTTCCAGATATGTTCTTGTCATCTTTCCTACTAAACGAGAAAGACAACAACGTCTTTCTATTATATTTTTTGTTCTTATATGGATTATCTCATTAGTCTTTGCTATACCTATGTTGATAGCATCTGATGTTTCGGAAATATATAATGATCCTCCATGTAACATTTCACTTGAAATATGTCATGAAAAGAATTCAAACTGGGATACTGTAAGTTCATATAAATGATCTATAAAATGATCTATTGATAGATGGCTGTATCTAAGCGTACTTATACATTATCTGTATTGATTGTACAGTATGCTTTACCATTGGCTTCACTTGTTTTTGCTTATTCTCGCATTGTCAATCAGATGAAACTTCGATGCACTAACAGGGAGATGACATCGTTCACTAATGGAACTGCAATGACAGCCTTATCAGATAGGAGAAGGTAGCTTGCAATAGTTAAGACACATTGTCAACTCTGATCCTAAGGTGTAGATCAATTGCGGATCGTCAAAGACGCACTCATCTTCTTCTCATATGTATCATTGGCATTTTTGCTATAGCCTGGCTTCCTTTGAACGTTTTCCATATGGTATCGCATTCTATCTCTCATCTTCCAGATTCAGATGATCATTTCAGATTAACACCTTCCAGTCGCTTCCACACTTCTCTGTTACTACTTTCGCATTTTGTCATTTGATTGGTATGTCGTCAGCTTGTTTGAATCCAGTCAGTTACGCTTACTTCAATCACAATCTTCGCGCAGAATTCACCAAGATAGTAAGGAGCTACTGTCTCAGGTGAGAACTCTCATATGATGGCAATAACCTGCATGAAGTAATAGGTGTACTAGGCAGTATTATTCTTGGATGGGACAACCAGATCCCTATGAAACAAGAGAAACTACAGTTGCTTATGATCGTAATCGTTCAACAGAAAACAATAGGTCAATTGTTATTCAAGAGCGTCGAATTCGGAATGCCAAAAGCATTTCCTGTCATTCAGAAGCTGTTTAACTCATTTTCGAATTTCTATTCATATATGGTCATTGGGCTTCACCTGTACTTCTCTTGTGACTAGTTGTTAGGATTGTTAAGATGCTAATCAAATCATTTGATTATCATCGCTTGTGTTGAATGAAAAGTAGAATTCAAAATATCCAAAAAAAAAAGTTTTTGTCTTAACTGATTGTTGGGAAGTACTGTTCCCCCCCCCTTAAGTATTTTCAATTGTCTTTATATGTTTAAGCTTCTTCATAATATCTGCTGAGCTGCTAGTTGTTGAATATCTTATACTTAACTTTAGAATTTTAAAGTATTGATCTCTGTATTTTTCATCTATCTATCCTTGTTTGATCCATATACTATCTCTTTCTCAAACGGATCTCATTTTACGAAGTTGTTCATTATTAAGGATTCTTATATGCTATTTATATATTATTATAACTATACTGTTCTCTTTCTATCTGTTATTAAGTGATCTCACAAACTGTTTTTAAGCTTCTTTCCTCTCTTGTTCTATGTAAGCAATGCTTGGTAATAACTTATTGTATTCTTATTTTAATAAAAATATTTCTTTTTGACTAATGTTTTGTTTAGAATGTCATACAGATAACATCTTCTTCACACAATTTACACAACTACATCATTGAAAAGATGAATGTGAATATTCCGGTGAAAGGATAATGCTTTACTAATGATTCTTCTTTTTCAATTTCCTATTACAACCCATTCTAGTCTGTATGAGATTGATTGTTTAACCAATTTGTAAGATCATTTCTATTATTATCCTTAAAAGGAAAATAAGTATGTGTTAGTACTTAGAGATGTTGATGTGTCATATGAATCACCCTTTTACCATTTCAATTCATTATTATTCATTTTAGACACTCATAACACATTGAGTTTATAGTTCATTTTCAGTCATATTCTACAAATAGTCTGATTGCTCTATGAGAGGCTCAAATTATTATTTTTGAATACTCATAAAGGAAATGATAGTCTATTCCGGAAAAAAATGTAATCAGTCTCTGTTAATGTTTCGAAGAATGAGCTTTGAAATGGTTTTGTTGCCATTATAGGTTTGCTCATTCACTTTCTCTGCTATTATCATTTCATGAGCCTTTTAAAAAGCTTCGATAATTCATTTTTCATTTGATGACATGATGCGTCTTCAGCCTATATATAAGAAAGCTCTGCTTCATACATTCACAACCTTCATATGAGCTCCATTTTAATATTCTTAAATGCTTCATCCTTAATTCATATTCTTATCGTCCAAAAAAATTATTTTTTCTTTCTCAATCTCTCTATTTCTTTGTCAGAATATGAGAAAGTAATATCTGAAAGTTCAAATTTATTAAGGACAATCAAAATGTTTTTTTGTAATTTATAATATTCAATGCTGCAAGCATAATCCATTCACTCATACAACTCTCTCTTAGAAATCTTTCTTTTGGAATTCATTCCCTCTATATGTCAACTCTCCCTCGGAAATTTTTCCCTTAGATTTCATTCCCTCTATATGTCAACTCCTCCTTAGAAACCTTTCCCTCGGAATTCATTCCCTCTTTATGTCAAATCCCCCTCAAAACTCTTTCCCTCGGAATTCATTCCCTCTTTATGTCAAATCCCCCTCAAAACTCTTTCCCTCTATATGTCAACTCTCCCTTGCAAATCTTCCCTTTGAAACCTTTTCGCTCTGTTTCTCCTTACTCTCTATCGTGACTTTCTCTTCAAAAACTATATTATAATATAATATTTCTCATTAAATGACATTTCATTTTTTGAAACCATAGAGTTTTATAACCATAGCATTTTAAATGCAGAACGAGTAGTCCTGGAGATTGCTCTCACATCATTTTTGTCTTCGAAAAATGCCATGAGAAATGTGTGAGAGAGCATGCGAGATCAAAAGCAAATTGTAAGCAATTCAGTTGTCCTTCTCTATCAACATAGTTTCGCCCTATTTTGGAATATGCATTTCGAAGCCTATTGTTCTGCTTTATTCAGTTCGTTGATGCATCAAGCAACAACTAGCACACTTGTTCACAAGTGCAATACAGTTATCTAACGTATATTTAAAGATTCACACAGTAATTAATTTATATTAACTATATAACTAATTCATTTGCTCATTTCATTCTTCTATCTATCTCCTTATATCTTTTATATATCAAAATTTTACATTTTCAGCTATTATTATCCTTTCACATGAAGAGCTATATTGAACCGAATGAAGATGTGAACACAAATGAAAACTTATGCTTCTTTCCTAACAAATGATTACCATCATTTAGAATCATTTGTTTATTCTATTTTGTTTTTTTTTTCTAAAATACGCACGAACAAAAACATTTTTTCATCTATTTCTTATCTTCTCTTGTCCATATGATTCTATATGAAACACTTTCACATTCCTTCCCTACCTCTCTCTCTCTCTCTCTACTCTCTCTCTCTCTCACATATAAACAAATAATTAATATAAACTTAACTATATTATTAAGTATACTCATTGTTGGTTAATCACCTGCATTATGCCTCATAAGTTGGTTGTATTGGAAGAAGCACAGACAACTAGTTTGCCTGTAACATATATTGATCTGCTAGTGATCTCACCCGTAACATCTCATCTATCAATTATCCAATTTAATCCATCTTCAACTTATAGATCAAGGAGTTAGTTGTATTTCGTGTAACGCAGACTTCACAGTTTTTTGAACTCAAACGACGATATTCAGAGATATGTGGAAAACCTGAATATAAGATGACGTATGCACCAACTTTTGATTTATAATCATCTTTTATAGCCTTGTCTTCCGAAATAGAGTAATTAGTCCAGCTGTTACTCCTTATTTACTTTCTATGAAGAACCGCGATGTATTACAAGTGAATAGCTTTCTTCTTTTTAATTTTTTCATCCAATTTCGTATTCAGATTCGCTTTCTGGATTGAAACAATAGCATTGGAGCTTATGCTGCTGCGTGAATTTCTAAAGAAGTATATGCTTTCTATTGTCAAATATCCCTAATGAAGTTGAGATAAGTTATTGGTTGAAGCATAATACCCCTAAACAGACTTTCGAATGCTCATCTGGCATCAACATCTTTTTTTAAACTGAAATGCTTATGTAGTCATAGTTTTATATATATAAACCTTAGCTTCATAGTATCGTTACTTACCTGGTAGTGCATAGTAGTTTCAATCTCTGAAGGCTTAAATGAAATGAGAAAGGAATTCTTCTTCTTAACTACTTTATTTTACAAAAAATTATATAAAAAGACTAATATATATAAGAAGGAATTAACATAATTCAAAGTTCATAAAACTGAACCAAATAACTTGAAGAAGCATATCTTCTCACCTCATCTCCTCAGTGTTTGCGGCTTTTCTTAACCTCCTTTCTCATTTTCTTCTTAGGAGGGAAAATGATCTTGGCGTAACCTGGGTCCGAATCATCATCTCGATCATATCCATCATCTTCAAATCCAGGGAAACCGTTTACCAGCCAATTTTCATCCATTGAGTCTTCTTCTTCAGTCATGGTTAAGCTCATCAATGGTCCAAGTTCCAACGATGCGTCAATGAGAATACATGTTTTTCCATTATCACCATCCACAATATGGAAACGATCATCTTCGAGAACAATGGTATAGTATTTCATCAGGCGGTTAATGAAAGACTCGTCCAAGTACAAATCACTTCGCGATCCTTTTTTCTCTTTCTCCTCATCTCTCATAGGTTCTATATCTGGAGCTTGAAAGGTTAAGACGTCAGTTCCAGCCTCAATTTCAGTTTCTTTTGCGAAATTCGTCTCACCGATTTCCAGGAGCAGTTTGATGGTGTTTTGAGATTCATCACATCTGGTTACAATCTTGATATAACCACAGTCGATTGCGTTCAAGTTATATGAAGTAGTTAGAGACAAAGTGGGAAACAAAGGTACTCCCTCCTCTTTGTTCCATGCAGAACTCAGTTCCAGTTGTTCTTCCACAGTCCAAACTCCAGCAACTTTTCCTTCAAGGATAACACTTTTCTTCTGTTCATAGGAGAGAGTCTGGCTCTTCAGTGATTTTTCGGAACCTAGCTTAAGATTCAAGTCCAAATGTTGAAGAACTTCCAGAGTCATTTCATGTTCTGCCAACTTCTTTCTATCAACTTTCTTGAGAGATCGGAAAGATGTGTTGCTGATGAAAATTTGATCCGAAGTAAAGAGATCGTCTTCCGGAGCAAAACCACAAAACAGCTTAGTCCAAAACGCGAACTGAAGCCGTTCTTCAATTTTCCTTGATCGCATTGCTTTTAGAGCGTTGGCTCCTGTTCCATCACAGAAAGTTGGATCACAAACACCTCTACGATAGAATCTAATCAAGAAAGGAAGAAGATGAGACACCGAAGAGTCTTTCACTTGTTCGAAGTGAATTCCGTGAGTTTCATCGTCTTTTTCTGTTCCAGATGAAGACACGTTGGCAGAGTTCAAGTAAGGTGCAAAGTTGCTCACTTGTGATTGGATGTTGGTCGACGTTTTTCTTCTCTTTTCCACAATTTCTCCATCAAGGTCCAGATCTCGAAGAGTTTCTTGCAAACAATCAGGTAAGACAGGGATCTTAGGGAATTGTTTGTTGAGAACAGTTAACTTCACGATGGTCAAGGTGTTCTCAAAAATCACTTTGGAATTAGCGACTGTCTCCAAACGGCTGATTTTTTCATAATCAATGAACCTGAAGGAGGAATAAGCTGGCCGCATGATAGGAATATAAGTCATGATTGTGAAAACTTGTGGAGGAGCACACACAAAAGCCAAGGGTTGGTTGGGAAGCTCCTTCATTGAATCTTGGTCCAAAGGAAGTTGTTCATCACCTCGAGGCTTAACCAATGATAAATGCTCCTCAACAGGAAATTGCTCATCACCGACAGGCTCCTGGTTAGATTTTGCAGGAATCAGTGGCTTTAGCTTCTGCAAGTCTTTACCATAATGTCCATCTCCACTCCATCTTGAACCTTTCAGAATTGCTTTCTTCTTCTTTTTCCGGTCAACTTTCTCCATTTGATGTTTCATGTTGAGAAGATAACTTATAGCTTTCTTACGGCTAGAAGGAACGTTGAACAGATAGTCATTCGCTTCGAATTCATTTTCGTCCCATATTGGAACACGACCACCATAATGCGTAGCAGACTTAGAACGTCTGGAACTAACCGGACAGTTGTACATTCTCTCATGTACCAGCCATGCAGCAGTATATTTCCGTTGCCAACGCTTCAATTCGTAGTTGGATCCAAATCTCTCCATCTTAGATAAAAGCAAGCTGGAATAGCTTTAATTTCCGTGAGACTTGTTAAACTTACTCTAAGCTCTTTTACTTTCAATAACCAAACGCAAACTAGCGATAGCTGTCCTAGCAGGTGACTAGGTACTCAAGCTTGAGGATTCCCTGGAAAAAGGATGATTATTTTATTGGGATTAAATAATAACAAAAAAGGATTTATAAAATAAAAAGCTGACTGTTTGAGGCGATTCATAGGTAAAGTATGAGGTGTCCTTTTGATTTATCTTATCCGATAGGTTGATGAAGCTTGATATATCCATTTTCTGGCATTTGAAACATAAAAGTATAGTTATGAACTTTAAAAATTGAATATTACAAAGAATGCCGATCACTAATGAGGATCTTATAATATCAAGTTGTATAGTGATATTTCTATTTTGAAAAGGTTTTACCTCATTAAAAAATATTTTTTTTATTTTAAAATACCTTTCGTTCCAGCTAAACTTTCCATATGAGTTCCAGATGCTGGGTCATCGTCACGAAGAATAGAACTGTGATCCTGATGTATAGTACTCTGATAAGGATGAATAAGAGCAACTAAGATATATTTTAGGCATGGCATAGCTGAAAATCCATAGAAGAATATAAAACTACATGATGATGTTTGTATGGCTGAAAACAAGTCAATCACTGGTCGAATGGACCAATAAGGCTCTTGATCGATATTATTTTTTTGTACTCTTGTTATCCTCACGTATTTATGGTTTGAACTGTAGTTTAGGCTCAACGATCGGTGCCCCTCTTGATTTTTGCATGATTTAGTTGTTTTAGAGATCAAATAGAATTTGTGCATGCATTCTTAGTGTGTAGAATCCCTCCTTAGTTAGATTTTGATCCTTTTGCACTTTCAGCTATAACACCAATTATGGTAGTGGGGGGGATGATGTTTATAATCATTTGCAGGTCATAATACCTTCTCACTGTTTGTTTATGCTGTAATATAAACAAAGGCTAAGTAAACGTTCGTAGCTAAAGAATCTACTTCTAGATCAGCATCAACGACTTAGAAGCCATGTGGTTTACGCGATCTATTGTTGTATTGATATGTATGTTCCATGTTGCACATCCTGCAATGCGCACAAGGTATGAAGAGAATATCATTTGTTATCCATTTTCTATACAAAACTCTTTGATATTCAAGATCTTTGAATGGAGCTCCTGTGACTGATGGTGATGAAAAATTCAATGAAATGTTGTATGAACTTTTGACTCTAACAATTCTGAAAGGCATCAATATTTATAAGATAAAGCAGTTTAATGATCGCCATTTTCTTGACAAAACAAGACGTCATTATTGGTTTGGAGATCGCTACTTTAGACTTGTAAGAATAAAAGATTATTGTATAATGAACAATCAATCTATATCATTCATATAGGATAACTACTATTGGTTGAGTACAAGAGATACATGTGGCTATAGATTGAATGAGACTCAAAGTAAACCACTTGAATATGATGAGGATAATGTTAAGATCAATGAGATATTCTTCCAGTAAGCATGCTTTATTCAAAACTTCTTATTCATCATTTACCTTGTTCTAGATGCTTACGATATGAGGAGTACTGTTGTGGTCTCAATTGCTGTCGTCGCTATTGATAGGAAACGAATGTGAATTCTCCCTTATTAGTAATGAGTGCTCACAAAGAGCTGTTTCAGGTGAACTCTGTTTGATGTGCTGATTCTTGAATGTTTCTATCGTCTGCTGTGAATTATAGTTCCTTGTTACTGTTATCGAGTTGTTCATCCCTCCAAAAGCAATTCTGGGTGCCGTTATGCTTAACCTGAGTTTGAATAAACGTTTTCAGTTTCACCTTCTACATATTCTAATTTCAAAATCACATTAGAAAGGAACATTTCGTTTTTGACAAATTACTTTAACAACTAGACAACCAAAAAGCTAATTTCTTGTTACTTAGCAAAGGCAAGTGTTGTAGCGTGGGTGTTAGAGGGGATATAAAGAAAGCAAAAATTTTCTTGAGCACGTGAACATCGCATTTGCATTTAAGCTTTGTTTATATAAATTGTTTTTAAAAATTAACTGAAGAGTAATGTTTAAATGTATCAGACCCTCATAATAAACGAAACAGCAAGATGCTTTTACATTTCATTTTGAGCCCTCATATACATTGCTCACACACACACACACTCATACACTTAGCCTCATTTTGATCTTCTAATACAATATAATGAACTTTCGTCTCTCTTTTCATTCAAAAATGTTTTAGATATTAACTAATATTAATAATGATTATAATGTAAAAGCAGACTACTCTTCATACATTGAAGATTCTTCTTTCAATATGATCTTTAGTGATGAAAAAGAGTATGAGACATCAACGTTCACAATCTTTTCAATCTAGTTGATTAGATACTTGCATTTACTTAATTATAATAAATAAACAATGAGGTTTCCTATATATAGATAAGAATCATGCTAAGTATCTACTCATCTTCATGATTTTCGAGATTCATTCATTCATACTATCATACTCACATGCAAATGAACTTCCTCCTTTCGTGGTTCAAATACAGATTTCATTTCCTCTCTATCTACATCATACACTACTGTTCCTTATATATTTCTTATAGCTTTTCTCTTTCACAATTTTTACATTTTCTTCTTCATTCTCATCTTTATCACCAACACGAGATGTTGTTTCGATGAACAACAGCATATCTATCTATAGAGAATGCTCTTAGTATTAATAGAGTTTTTGCTAATGATTGAGAAGAGATATTGAAAATGCATTCATGCTTCATAGATTTGACATTAGAAGAATATCTAACACAATACATCATTTCTTACATCAGCAAATATCATTTCATTGCCATTCACTCAGTTCACAGCACTTTTCAGCTTTTTTTCTTTCAAAAATCCAGACGATCGTTCTGTTTTTCGTATGATGACATGCATTTCGAACGACCATCTTCATCTTCTCACTTCACTTCTTTGTCACGCATATTCATTTCTATTCTCTCTGATCACAGATAGGCTGTTCTGTTTTTGAGATGAATGTGTAGCGGCTTACCTTTAGCTTTTCTCAATTTGTTCCATCTCACATGCCTATCTCTATCCTGTTACAGGTAATGATGAGAACTGTCTTCTTTCTGTTTTTATTCGTCAGCAGTATTGTTATTGCCGAACAATGGCAAAATATGAATGGAGAACAAGAAGTTATTTCCCCTGATAGTTTGTTTTAACTGAAATGCTTGGAAAAAAAATTTTTTTTCAAGATTATTTTGACAGCAGTTACTCAGCTTGCACTGAATGTTCAGAGAAATGTCCATGGAAATGCCATGACGATAGCCGGTAACTAGGATCTCTTACATATGATGGTTTTGTTGTAAAGTTTTAGAGCAGAGCAACGTAGATTCTTCTTCAATTCTAAAAGAGCAATGATGAGACTTGGAAAGAGAGCCGTGATGAGATTAGGATAATGGCATCATCATTGATCATAATGGCTTACATGATTGTTTAATAAAGAATTGAGCATGTTATTCATCAGTTGAAATATATAATATACATAACTATACAATAACTATATATAAACGAAAGATACATCATTGCCTATGGTTACCAGAACCCTAATGTACAGTATGATTGTTGACCAGCAACAAACAGTGTTTAACGTCTTTCGTACTCTTCCCAAATGCTATCATCTTCAACATCAGAATCTCGTTCTAGTACAGGTACAGGAATGAATGGTATTTCTAACAGCCGAGGAAGTGCTTGTAGTGCAGGAATTGCTACACCCTGATAGATATCAGACTCTTCGAATAGTACATCTTCCATACTTAACTGTAAAGAGTGCTTATAGCAGACTCACAATGAATGGGGATAGGAGAAGGGGAACAGCTAATAGTATCTTTCAAACATCTTTCTTAAAGCTCTTCAAAATCAAAAAAGCCTCAAGAAACAGTAAGATCTATCTACTACAGATGGAAGGAATATATTTTATAAAAAAAAAAACCAACCATTGGCTGTGGCTCAACTTGAGTATTTGGTTTTTGGCACATATTTAGAAATAGAAAAGAAGTTCAGCCAAGAGCAATACGAACGTATAAGTAGTGAAGATAGAGGAGACCTAAGTCGTTCTCCTTACTTTGAAAAACTGATAACATGAAAATAATCTTATTATCAAAAAAGTTTACAAGCTAATAATCGAACACTTGTTTAAGAAAAGGCTAACTGTACTTTTCTGAAGAAGCACTTGTGCCGTTCAATGGTGAAAAAAATTTTTTTTTTTGCACATTCAACTTCAAAAGTTCAAGTTCAGGACAGACAGCAATGGTATAGCCAACTGTGTGAGAAGCTGATGAAGGTTTTCAGATGATATTGAACAACAACCAAACTAAATGAAGATCTTGATATATCTTTCATACAAATTCATCTCTGATTATAACATTCAAAAGAACCATCTCAATATTTCCTCAATAATCAAGCTTTCAGTAGGATATCGAACGTCCTAGTTTTTGTTACATTTGATAAGAACTTTACGAAATGTCCGATATGTTCCGATAAGGACCCACCCGATTGAAAACCATCTCATTTTCGAACATTAAAAACTAATACGAAAGTCTTTCATTGTTTAAATTTTACATCTGAATGGCGTTCATTATCAAGTTTTAAACCGTGGTTACAGTATCTCACACCACCATGATGTAAAATGATAGCTATTGGGAAAAAGGATACGAACATTACGTTTTTATCATTAAAAATACCTATGAAGCTCCATTTGTATGAATATAACAACTGAACATAAAAATCATTTGAATAAGGAATAGGCTCAGTAATCATAAACAACATATCCCTTGAGAGATGTTTACTATCAAATGATCAATGTTCATTGATCTTTACAATATATAAGGATGTGATCTACAAAATCCACTACTTCCGGTTGTTTATATCAATTCAAATGTTTGTAAACAACCGGAAGTAACAACCGTAAATGAAAACATTACAGTAATCCTTCCTTTTTTTTTCAAAATTTTACTTGTAAAAATGCTCCATTGCTAACTGAGTGACCCATTTACAAAATGATAACTTTACGATTTGAAATCTATCTATTGTCACGTAACTGATCAGCATATCTCTAAAGATTCAAGTAACCATAATTGATAATCACATGTTTGATTGATTAGTACGGTATGTAGTGGGTTGTAAGTCATTAATAACAACAACTTAGCTATTGATAATGTATTATTATCACAATATTCAGCATGTCACATTGATGGTTTATCATATTATCTCAAATTGCTCTATTCGATATGTTCATGTGCTATCGTAAAGTTTGATATTGAAAATTATCATATACTGATTTACATTTTATTAATATTTCACCTAAGAGAGAGAAAATCATATTGGAATATTCAAATTAGTACATAATTGCACTTAATTGATTATAATGCTTTCTACTTAGGGCAGGAGTGGATCTTGTGGCAGACATCAGATGGAGCAGTTCCGGATTCTAACTCCTTGATGATTCCTCCTAATTCTTTGTTGGCGTACTTTTGGCATTCCATTTTACCGAGCTTTCCTGGGATAATTTTTTCGCACTCCTTGATGAAGTCCTATAATATAAGATTGACAGTTAGTTATGGTTAAGTAAGGAAGTAATTACGTTTTCGATAGCCTTAAGGTCCTTGTCGGCTGGTTGGTCAGCTTCCTTAACGGCGATTTCGCACATAATGCATTCAGCAGTGCTGGCGTATTTTGCTGGTGGTACGACGACGGCGTAAGCGGCGACGACAACAGCGAGAAGAACAAGAAGGGAACGCATACTGAAACTAGTTAAGAGGTAAGTAAAGGTAAACTAGTGTGAGGAAGTAAAGAGTGACCATAAGATGAATGAGCTCTGAACATCAGAAGAGCTGATTGTGACACAATCTTAACTATATGAGTTTATATATAGTCGCCTCTCGATTTCTTATCAGTCGGATTCAATTATTAGGAAATTAATCAGATGACGTCCGAGTACATTGTTCATCAGATCAAAAATCAGTTTCATAGAGGTTTATGCATAGTTAACAATAATTCAAATGAAGAAGAAAAAAAAATATGAATGATTTTTATCAGTTATACATATGAATTATATGGTTACGCATAGCTAGTGATAACTATATCTAATTAAAGAGTAGCTGATTGAAGAATTTTGATGTATGCAATAATCCGGTTCTACACATTTCCGTAGTTCTGCAATTTGAGATTATGAAATATTTTAATGTTTACATTTTCATTTAATGCTATAATCATTTTGGGAAAAAGGAAGTGTGGTGTTATCAGATCATTAAAAATGCAATGTGACTGCCTAATACGGCAATCTAATAGGTTATCCTCATTAAATATAAGTATTCACCTTACGACTGACATCCTGTCAGCCCTTTCGAAATTCGAGCGAACGAGCTCGTAATACTGACCATCACTCAGAACAATCGAGTGCAACCGGAGACATTTCATGCGCAACACATCAATGAACTTGCTGGTGATAAGAATATAACGATCACATGGCTAAATAACAATACAGTACCTTGATTTATCAGAAAAGCGAAGGGTGTCGTCGTCCCAACGAATCTCTAAGCGTGTTAATGATGGGCAATTTTGTGCGATACAGTCAATAAACTGATCAATATGTATCTTTGCTACAACTTTAGGACAACAGTCTTCGGCTATGCCCATTACAAGAACTCTGAAGATATGGATGAAGGATTGATTATACGTTTTGACTTACTTTATGTTTCTCAACTGAGGTATCATATTCATCCAGAAGTATTCTAACAACTTATGATGTCCTCCTAGAATGAGTCCTTCTAACTGTTTACCGTAGCGAATAATCAGATCGGTCAGAGCTGTCTCATTGAGTGAATCGCATGTATCTAATCCGAGGAACCGTAAGTTGTTCATAGCATTTGACTGCATCCAACTTTCCAAAACCTAAAGATGTTTGGAAATATTTGACTTCTCATATCTGGTTACTTACAGAGTCGTTCATGTTTTCTAAGAAGCCAGCATCAAGCCATGTTAAATGATTCAAACGGGTGAGAATATATATAATAGATTCAGTAGAGAGCTCAGTTCCTTTGATATCCAGCTCTTCTAAACGTGTTTTCTCCCATTCTACCTGTTTAATAACATTATTGTCTAATTCTATAATAATAATGTTAAGTAAGCATTAGACTGTATCAGATCTTACTTGTATGAGCTAAATATAATGTTTTCAGTTTGCGACATCGTTGAAGTACCAATTTCAAACAACTACCCGTCACCTTACAACAATAGTTTACACATAAACATTCCAAATGAGCACAATTAGAGGATATGGCATCAACATGTTCATCCGTAATGAATGGAACCTTCAAATGGATATCAATCAGTTATAGAAGCTCTAGATGATCTACTCACCCCCCATAGATTGACAACAACAAGATTAGGTAAGAACTGTTTTAATTTATAAATATTAACAGTTTCATAAACTTCTTCCTCTTCATCCTCAACCTTTTCATAAGTTCCTGGAATGTAAATCCTATTTTCATTTTATTTTACGAGTCTGATTTTTAATGCTTTTATCAATGAGCTCGCCCAATTTTGGTGCGTTATCATGTATTAGAAAAAAACATAACGCTCTTTGACAGCCACATAGCTCCGCATAGCATTAACAGAAAAAATGATGATAAGAATTCTGGCGCGGTTAGGTTTATGAGATTATACATGTTGATAACGCTTGGCTATGAAAAGCAGAAACTCTCCAACTCACCAATTATGTGCAGAATTTGAACAGATGATATGAATGTATAAGCTTTTCGTAAAAATCCTTCCAAAAAGATGTTCTCAGATAAGCACAATGTTAAAGATTTAAGTCTTGATGGGAAACATTGTAAATCTGTGAAATCATGCAACTGCATGGCCGTAGAGAAATCTTAAACATCTCATTTGAATATCTCATTCGATCTCATAGATCACCTAAGGTTATATGTTGTAACTTCTGACATTTGTTGGCTAATTCATGAAGTACATTAGGATTTATAAGATCTGTAGCCAGCTCGACAATCCGTAAATCAGAGAAACTGGTTCCAATGATAGTAGGAATGGTCTCTGGATATCTGACCTGTCAATGAAATAGGGGTTATAATCGTTACTAATCCTTATTAGAATGGTGATATCATTGTGTAGGTGGTTAAGTAACGTACTGAAATTCCACCATAAGCGGGGCGGAAGGATACAAACTTCCAGAGTCCTGGATTCATTGATACTTGACGCCATCGCTTACAAACTGTTCCCACTTGTAGAATCTAGATGAGCATCAATATTCTCGCATTTCATCATTGAGATATCTACCTGTTGTGATGGTAAATACGAAAATATTTGTTGAAGAACTTTTTCCGGAAGCTTTTCAATTGTCTGTAACAATGAGAGTCATCAAATATAATAATGAATAAGCATGTTAGGAGGGAGGGATATTTCCACAAAAATTCTTGCCTTTCTAGCTTTGGGACTCTGTAGCAACTGAGAGACTGCATCTAACTTTTCATCTCTTTCATCTGCTTCAATCTTAGCTTTGAGCTCATTATCGTCTACCATCGTCACACGACGTGTCATATCAAAAATGGCAGCCATGCTTCAAACTGCTCTAATCATATAATGTTTTTTGTTTTCTTTTTTTTTCAAAACAATGACAAAAAAAATAGAGAGTGTGTATGAAAGACGAAAAACTGATTCATAGAATGAATAAAGCTTGAACGCAATCTCAAGAAATAGCTGTAAAGCTGAAGATGAAAAGCAGATGGATGCAAGAAAAGTGTCAGCTGGTGGTGAGCAAACGTATGGTAAGCTCATCAGTTGTTCGTTTTTCGTTATTTTCTATCCGAGATTGCTTTTTCTTTTTATATCAGCATAAGTTTTCAGCTGGCTCAAGAAGCACATTGTAAAGTGTTGATGGCATTTCCCGAAATGTGAAAGATGTGTATAGGAAAAAGTTTAAAAGAGACAGATGTGAGATAGAAGAGAGAGAGACAAAGAGGTTGAGAGAGATTAAGTAAGAGAGAGAATATGAAACTTGAAGCAAAAAAAAAGAAAAAAAACGAGAAAACGATGTGGAATAGCATTTTGGCATACTTTAGAGTGTTCGTTTGATGTAATTAAACAAGAATTACATGAATATTTAAAAATCAGATGAGATAAATAGAATCAATATTGGATATGAATGTTCAGCGCCTCTTAATGCGTGGTTGAAGTAGAGTGTAAATAGAAAATATGTTTGTCTACTAGACAACGATGAATTTTTTGGTATTGTAAAGGAAGGTGAGGGCCGATGAGGGTTGATGATGATGAATGAATGATGAAGTGAAAAGATTTAATACAAATATTATTAAATGAAGGAGATTGGGGAGGGAATATAACGTCATCATAACAATTGAGATAAAGCTGAACGTTATTTTGGATGTTTATTATGAAGTGAGGGCAAATGATGTGGATGAAGCTTAGTGAAGGTTCCCAATTAACTTATAAAACAAATATTAAATGAAAAATCAACAAACCGGCATTCTTGACAGAACGAGAGCCAAATTTATTTTTGATAAAGCTCTTAATTTGCTTATAATTCTGGCTTTCTTTATCCGCCACTCTTCTGTATCTCTAAAATGCTTTTTCTTTGTAAGCCATGTTGTAGCAGCAGTGATAGAAGAATTACGTTTAACCTAAAGCACACACAAAAATGAAACTGAATGATCAAGATATCATCGTTTTGAACTGACAAAAAAAAATGAAAAAAAAGCAATTTTGTCTGTTAGCTTTTTTTGTTTTTTTTTTTTAAAACAACAACTGTTAGCAAGTTTGGTGAGAAATAATGCTGTAAATCAATTACATACCTTATCATCAGTTGTTTTTAGCAGAAACATTACGATTTATCACTGAGTATTGTAAATATGTTACCGGTTTGGTTGAAGGAATTGAATATATGGATGGAATTCTATAATATATGCTAATTAGAGGATATAGTTAAGAGGTAATCAATATAATATGAATATATATAATATATATGTATATAGATGATCCATCTTATCTAATCGTAACTTTAAGCAACAGGAAACAAAAGATGAAATCTAGTAAAACAAATTTCGATTAGCTGTGGTCAGCTGGGTGTTAAATGACAGGGCAAAGACAAAGTCACTGAAAAAGAGATGCGCTTTTCGAATAGGTGTAATGATTTACAACTAGTTGAGAAGAGAATAAAAAGTTTGTTTAACTCATACATATATATCTATATGTATATATATGAATATGTTAATAGAGGATGATGTAACATCGATTGGATAGTTGAATGATCGATGAGCTTTCAAATGATAGTACATAATCAATGTAAGATGTGAAAAGGTTTGAGATGGATGTCTCATTTACCAAGAAAATGCTTTAGACTATTCCATTTGATGCAAGTTTATAGGAAGCAGCTTTTCATTTATCGAAGCAGCACAAAACCAATAGTAGAAAAGTGAGATCGAGATGCATTTTTCCCAAGACAATCGTTTCTGATTACACAATTTTCATCTGAAAATTCAGTTCAAACAAAACGATTTTTGTGCGGATCATCAAAATGGCCTTTTTATATTAAATATTTGAAAGATATATATACCCAATATCTTTTGATAGACATCAGACATAATTTGTCCATCAAATTGACCAAGATTAGATGTTTCTTATGAACATGTGGTCACTGGCTTGTTAAATTCTGAATAGATGTTGAAAGAGATATATAGATATATATACTGATATCTCAACACTTGTCTCTCTCTCTCTCTCCCTCTCCCTCCCTCTCTCTCTTTCTTCTACGACGATTAAACAAAAGTAAATAGGGACTTTCATTCAATTTAAGTGCAATATCAAATCATAAACTTTGAGTACGAAATATAATTTCTTTTAGATGCTCAGCATTCTCACGTTCTCACTACTTCAAAGAAGATGAAAGCTGTCAATATATGATTGAGACATTGGAGATGAGTCAACTATTGAAGGTAATATTACATTTTGAACTTTTCTCATTTCAAAGTTCAACATATAGCTTCCATTCCGTTCTAGTGACCTTTTCTCATTCTCATCCATATGTTCAGCTTCATTACAAACCTTTTTGAATCGAATAGTTGTCTTGTGATTAGATTACAGTTCATCTAGCCTTGTTACTATACGTAACTATAACAAAGATATTTCTTCTCATTAGAATCATTAAACAATTCAGTTTTGAATTGTATTATAAATTGTTTTATGTATTTTCTTGATGACCTTCATGTAAACAATTCCTTTTATTTCAAATTTTTCTTTTTCATTCAAAAAAAGTTTTTTTAATGACTTTTGCAACCGATAGCCATATGATATTGATGTGAAAATTGGTTAAAATAACTTAACAAAACTTTTCATTTTTGTTTTGAATGAGTTTGGCAGAACAGTTTAATGGCTAATCGTAAAAGAAATGAATATAAATAGAGACATTGGCAGAGGAAGATTATCGAAGAATGAATTCAGATCCTCTTCTTCGTACAAAGGCTTACAAGTTTATAGCTTATACAACAATATCTTTATCGGTATTGGCTGTATTATCGCTATGTCTTACTCTGCCAATGGTTTACAACAGCATTAGCATGGCTAAACATCGCATCTCGGAGGAAGTCAATTACTGCAAAGTTTGTTTTGTAATATTTTTTATTTATTTTATATTTACTCGTTGTAGTCTTCTGCTAATAGCATTCTTCTGAATATACATCAAATTCGTCAAATGGCATTGAACCGTACTGCTCGTCAAGCAAGTTATGTTGATGAACCAATAATTGCTGAAGATGATAGTCATGTGAATAGAATTCGTCCTATTCCTCTCCCACCAAGACCTCCCAGATGTTTTGGATGTTGCTTGCCAGGCCCACCAGGACCTTCCGGAACTCCAGGAATGCCTGGAAGACCTGGAAGACCTGGAGTCAATGGAAACCCTGGAAATCCAGGAAGACCACCTAGAGTACCTTGCAACCCAGGAACTCCTCCACCTTGCCAGCCTTGCCCTGTTGGACCACCGGGTCCACCAGGTTATCCAGGAGAAGAAGGAGATCCAGGAGTTCCAGGATCCCCAGGAGAGCCAGGAACTGGAGAGCCTGTTCCGGGACCTCCTGGAAGAAAAGGAAGAAGAGGAAGACCAGGAAGACCAGGAACACGTGGGCCACCAGGTCCTCCAGGACCAGATGCTCTCCCAGGTTCATCAATGCCAGGAGAACCGGGCGATCCGGGACCACAAGGACCACCAGGACCAGATGGAACACCAGGAAGCCCAGGCCGTCCAGGAAGACCAGGTGATTCAAAAAGATAAGATTGTGTTCAAGTATATTATTATTCAGGAAGAAGAGGACCAAGAGGACCAAATGGATCAAACGGAAACCCAGGTTCTGACGGTAACCCAGGAGCTCCAGGAGAACCAGGAACTCCAGGAAATTCTGGCGAGAACGGTATCTGTCCAACCTATTGCGCTGTTGATGGTGGCGTGTTCTTCGAAGATGGAACACGTCGTTAAACTCTGAAAACTGAGTTGACGACACTCCTATGAACCGATTGAATAAATCTTTTCAATACTTTCTTAGAGGTTTCTTATTCATTCTGATGAGAACGCAGTCAAAGTACATATTGAGTGAGATTATTTTTATTCTTTGCATGTAGCTATATTCAAAGCATATCGTCGATGTCTATGTATACAGGGATTTTGGTTAAAGAGGTATAGGAAAGGCAATTGATGAAATCAATTTTCTATCCGTGACGGATAACGGTAGTCTTGACAACGGTATTTTGGTTTCCGAATCCTGGTCCTCCGAATCCTGGGCCACCGAATCCTGGTCCACCACCGAATCTGCTGCCTCCGTATTGGCTTCCACCGAATCTGTTGTTTCCGAAAGATGGTCCCCCTCCGAATCCAGATCTTGATCCGAATCCTGGTCCACCTCCAAATCCTGGTCCACCTCCGAATCCAGAGTTACCACCGAATCCTGGTCCTGTTCTAGTGATGACGGTTTTTTCAATAATGGCTTGTCTTCTGTCTCTTGGGAAAGCGCTGAAAACATATCCATGAGAAGTTCATACATGGTCGTTAGAAGTTTACCTGGCAACAGCAACAACAGCCAAAAGGAGAACAATGGAGAAATTCATTTTGAAGTTTGATGAGAAATGAGAAATTTCGGGCCTTATATATTATTTCAATTCCAATGTCTTTGTTAACGGTTCCACCTTGTCCATCTTTACAGCATTTTCTTCTCTCTCAATTTTACACATGAGAAATTTTAATGATATCAAGAATGGAACTTCAATACAAAACGGGTTATTGATCTTTGTCGGTTAGCCTTCAAGTTGTAAAATGATGTTCGCTTAGCCCAACAGCATTGAATTCCGAAAACTATGATAAAAAAACCATTGGCTATTTGGGCAATTTCAGATTCATTCAACGGATAGTGATCCGAAAAAATTGATTCAGTGAGTAGTTCATTTCCGTTTGTGTGGATATGGTTATATGGAACAGGTGATGCGTTAGACAGATCATTTCCAATTGCCTTTGTTTCGGACATTTGAAAATCGTCATTTCCTATTTTCGAAACAAAGAAAATGATCTCTCTCATATTTATGAAAGTGGGTACATTGTCTGCCTTCCGTCAAGAAGTCCAATAACCTTTTTATAAACCCATTAATCGCTGGGAGAAAGACTTTTATTTCTAAGATCTTTATCGAGTTGTGTCTGTTCTGAGTACGTATTACACATAGTTCAACTCAAAAATGTTTATTCTCATGAGAACTGAAACTACTTCCTTATTTGATAATGACAATTGTTGGAACTATAACTGGGATTAAAACAGAAAATATGATTTGATCATTAATGGCTATCTTATAATCATGTTCTCAAGTTATAAAACAAGTATAAAAACCTTATAAACTCGGATTAAGAATTTTCGAGGTCAAAACTTTAAACGATAACTTTAATTGACAATTATTCAGTTTTTAATCATAAAATATAGATTTGATAAATCATATCCTTTTCAAGAAAATTTTATTCAACAGTGTCTACTTATGAAAATGAAAAACTCGGTATTATCAGAGACATGAGCTCTCAAGATGATTGAGCAAACAATCAATAGAACCTTACTACACTGTAAGACCAAAGAATTATATTTGAAATCCCTATTGTACTCAAAAGTACGTATTGTACGTAAAAACAATCAGGCGTTGATAACATTTTGTTGATAGCAGCTCAATATTTGTTTTTGGCGCTATTGGGTATGTGTGCACTGTTTTTACAAGCGTCATTTGGAAGGAATCGAGACACGTAATGAACTTTAAATGATGACTAAAATGATGACTCATTTGTTACTTCTCTTAATTTTGCCCTTTAAATGACATGTCTTAATGCCCTTTATGATGTTTATCTAAATGAGAAGTAAAAAAAATGTTGAAATTTGAGATTGCAACACAAGAAAGGATGGATAAGCAGTCAAGTGAAAGTGGCATTGATACAATGCATGGTAGTAGTGATACAGGTTCTAGCTGTTATCAATCCTGTAAGTTATAAATGCATAAAATTATTATAAATAATTATGTGAAGATACGGAAATGACAGCTGAACAAGAATTCTTTCTATATGAACTTGAAACAACTGATTCAAACAGTATGGGTTTAGTACTTAGGTAAGATTGATTATTATATGTATATATATGTATATATGAATTATTATAGAGCAATATATGATTGCGGTGATGTTAATAAATTCACCAGAGCTTTAGAACATAGAATTCAACAGTATAACAAGAATATTGAACGTGTTTGCACTTTTCATTATAAAGAATTCGTTGAATCGATGAAAGTGTTATTGGAACTACGTAAGCAATGTGATGACATAAAGGTTAGTGATGATTATGTTATGAATGATATTCACATATTAAATGTTTTAGAATAAATCAGTTACAATCGATGAAGAAATACAACGAGAAAGCATCGACATAGCCAAGAAGAATCAAGAAATTCTAAAATATAGGTAAGAGTTATATATCAGCTAGTCAATATCTTATCATACTTAACAGGAAGTTAATCAAGAA